CTGAAGTCTGCCTGCTCTCATTTCTTACAGCACAATAGTATTCCATTACATTCATATACCACAACTTGCTCAGCCATTCCCCAATCGATGGGCATCCCCTCAATTTCCAATTCTTGGCCACCACACAAAGAGCTGCTATGAATATTTTTGTATGTGTGGGTCCTTTTTCCCATTTGCATGATCTCTTTGGGATACAGCCCTAGAATTGCTATTGCTGGTGGGGCCATCTTTTCTTAAGAGATGCATTGTAGTAGCAGAAGGAAACACTTCCTGCTCTCGGTCACCTAGAATCTAGGTCTTCGACCTTCCAATGACTCTAGACCTCATGAGTCCATGGAGCAGCTGCCAAGGCTGCAAGGACTGAGGAAAGAAAGGCAGGTCACTCAGAGAGCACACCCTCTCCCTGCCACCGGCAAGCAGCTGCTACAGCTGTTGGGGAAGGGGGGAGGAGGACCCTCTCCCCCACCACGGGAAGTGCAAGAGAGAATTATCTGAGTCCTGAGCCACATATCCACATGAAAGGAAGAAGAGAGCAAGAACAGTTGTCTCTCCCTCTAAAGTCTATTGAGTGGGCAGCTCTTGCTTCTATGTCCTGTCCTCTGTGACACAGTCCCTTGTCACAGGGGATGGGGTAGGTGGCACAGGGGGACCAAAGAGAAGCCTCTGGTTATATATGTCTTTTATTGAGGGACGCAATTGGAAAGAAATAGGGCAAATGTATCACCAGAAGGGACCCAGCTCCAGGGACAAACACATATGGCATCAGAAAAGGGCAGACTCCAGGAATGCTTCCCAGAGGGGAGGATCACTGGGACCAAAATAGTCACAAGTAAAACAGCCTTTAGCTATAAAGAACTGATTATGTAGGAGGATTAAAAGGAGATAAAGAAAAGATAAGACTAAGGGCTGTGTGGGGTGAAGAGGGGAAGGAAAGAAGGATGGGAATAGACTTTTTAGACCATTCCAACTATAGACCACTAGTATTTATTTCATTCCCTTTCATTTCTTTCTCTACCATTTTTCCTTATAAAGAAAGAGTGGGGGGCAGTGTACAAGGAGAGGAAAAACTATAATAAGATGTGATGGGGGTGCGGGGGGGTAGATAAACACAGCCACCATAATTGTTAATATGAATGGGAAGAACTCATCCACAAAATGGAGAAGGGTAGCAGGCTGGATCAGAAATCAAAGCCCAATATATTGTTTACAAAAAAACCCATACTTTAAAAAACAATTCCGTGAGTTAAGATGAGTGGTGGGCATTGAATCCATGATGCCTCAGCTGAAGCAGAAAGAAACAAGGGTATCAGTTATTATCTCAGGAAAAGCATAGCAAACAAACAAACAAACAAACAAAAAATAACATTATGGTTAAAGGCATTATAGATACTAAGGAAACAATATCAATACGAAATTATATTCAATTATCGGCAAAGCATCTAGGTACTTAAAGGAAAAGCTAATCAAACCACAAGGAGACATAGACAGTAAGATAATCATTATTGGAACACAAAAATGTGTCCTTTTAGACCTGGGCAAATCTAATAGAAAGACAACAAGAAAGAAGTTAAGGGCACTGAAGAGAGTTTTAGAAAATTCAGATACTGTAGGTCTCTGGAAATGACTGAATGAGAATTGTAACAAGTATATATACTTTTCTTTTCATGGAACCTTTAAATGTTTTGACCATGTGTTAGAGCATAAGTAACTCATAATCAAATGCAGAAAAGTAGGCATGTTAAAGAAAATATCCTTTTTAGACCACAACACAACAAAATTATAAGCAATAAGGGGAATTTGAATAAAAAATTTTGACCTACAGACTAAATAATAAAGAACTAAAGAATAAGTAGATCAGAGAGCAAATTAAAGCCACAAAAACAAAACCAAAAAACAGCAATGGGACAATATACCAAAACCTTGGGGATACAGCCAGAGACATGACTGGAAAATGTTCTCTCTAAACATTTTTGTTAGAAAGAGAGAAAGAAGGTGTCAATGAATTGAGCATACAAGGAACAAACTCTTTAAAAATCAACAAATTTAAAACTCCCCAAAACCAGAAAAATAGATTTGAAAATTAAAGAGGAACAAAATTAAAAACAAAAATCTATTGAATTAAAAAGTTAAAAGCTATTTTAAAAACCAATTTATTGATAAATAATGTTTTACATTGCCTAGATTTTCCCCTCTATCTCTCATGCTTCTGTCTCCCAGGTTGCCATTCCTTATACCCGAAGATTAAAAGAAGGAGAAAAAAAGTTATTGAAATCAATGAAGTTTGAAAAAAAAATCCGACATTATATGCAATGATTCACACCTGTGGACTAGATCCCTGCAAAAGAGCGAAAGGGGGAGATGGGAGAACTTTTAAAGATTAGTAGAATGTACCAACCATTTGCTAACTTGATAGGAGGGAGGGAGAAGGGAGGAGGAGGGAGGGAGGAGAGGAAAAGAGAGACAAACACACAGTCAGACAGGGACAAAGATAGAGGTGGGGAGAGAGACAGTGAAAGAAGCCCAATTACCAAAATAAAAATGAAAAGGGGGAATTTACTACAAATAATGAGAAAGCAACTGAAATTATTAGAAGCTATTACACTTAAGTACATACCAACAAAACTGAAAACTAAATAGTTGAACATCTACAAAAATATAGAAGGTGTCTCCTTCCCAGCTTTCTCAACCAATATTCCAATATTCCCCTCTTGGAATAGGAAGGGAATAAGCATTTATAGAAATATTTATTCCCTTCCTATTCCAGGAGGGAATATTAGAATATTTCTGTAGACATTCAGCTATCTAGTTTTCAGTTTTGTTGCAGTATTATTTATTATCCCCAATTGTACAGTTGAGGAAACTGAGGCAGTGATTTGCCTAGGGTCAAATAGCTAATTAAGAGTCTGAGGTCAGATTTGAACTCAGGTCTTCCTGACTTCAGGCTCAGTGCTCCAACCACCATCCCATCTAGCTTCCTTCCTAACCAGAGCAGTATACTGACCTAGAGCAGAAGTACATGGTGTTGCTAGGAGTTCAACACTGTTTTTTAATCCCAACCTCCTAAACAGAGGGAGAGGGGATTCTTGATGCTAGGCAGCAGCATTATGGAATCTAGCTGGCCTGGAAGAATTCGATTCCAGGATCAGACTTGACCTGAGTGAGTCCAGAATCAGGCAGTGGGTTACACTAACAAAACCCAGCAAAAAGAGATAAAAAAAGAAATTATATTCAAAGTAACTACAAAACATATCAAATATTTGAGAGTCAGCCTACCAAGACAAACTTTTCAGAAATATAACTACCAAAATACCCCTTTGCAGATATAAAGAAAGACAAATAATTGGAGAGGTAACAAGGCAATTCTACTTAAATTAATTTACAAGTTTAGTGGCATACCAAGCAAATTACCAAGGGGTTACTTTGTAGAATTAGACAAAGTAAAATTCATCTGGGGAACAGAGAGGCAAATTCTCAGGGGAAATAATCAATCTCTCAACCAGCATGTACCTGTTATGCACCAAGCATGGGGACAGCAGGGGGCACAGACCAAAATGAAGGCTCTCTCCTCAAGAGCCTACATTCAACCAGAGGACCCGGCATGCACGTGTATAAGTAAGTACAGAATAAAGACAGGTAGTCATGGAGGGAAGTCACTAGCAGCTCCTGAGATGGGGAAAGGCTTCATGTAGAAGACGGGGTTTGAGCTGAATTAGTCCTGGGTTCTATGATACAGAGGTAGAGGGAGGGGTGGCTGGTGCAAAGGTACAGAGAAAGGAGACGGCATTTCGTATGTGAAGAACGGAGAGGACAATTTGGAAAGACCATGGAGCGCAGGAAGGGGAATAATGTGTAATGGGGCTGGAAAGCGCGGGACCAGGCTGGGAAGGGCCAAAAAGAGGAAGTTTCTAATTTATCCTTGAGGCAATAGGGAGCCAGAGGAATTCATTAAGAAGGGGATTGATATGATAGCTCTGCAGTTAAGGAAAATCCCTTTGGCAGTTAGGTAGAAAATAGATTGAAATGGGGAGTGATGTTAAGCCGGGAAACCAAAGAGGAAGAGTACTTCAATAATAACATAATAAAGATGAGAGGTGACGAGTAGCTGAGTGAGAGGAGAGAAGGCACTGCACGGAGAGATGGGGTGGAGGTCCGAACAAGAAAATGTGGCAACTGGCGGGATGGCAAGGCGGTGTAAGTGAGGAGAAAGCTAAGAGACTAGAAGGGGGTGAGGGTGGGAGTGGGGGTGGGGGGCTTGGTGGAAAAGGGAAAAGTCCGGAGAGTGAGAGGTAAGGGTAATTAGCTCGGCTTTTTACGTGTTAGGTTGGATATATCCATGGGACACTTCAAAATGGATGTCGCATAGAAATAATGATAAGGAAATAGAGCTCAGGAGAGACGGGGGTGGGAGGGAGGGAAAGAGAAAGGAGGAGGAAGGACGGGGGGGGGAGAGAGAGAGAGAGAGAAGACAGAGAGAGAATATATGTATCTGGGAGTAAGATGATGATAATGAAACCCATAAAGCTAGGGTCCCCAGGAGAGCGTAGAGAGAAAAGGGCCCGGGGCACACCTCCAGGTAGGGAGCACGCTAGGGATGACAAGCCCGGTTGCACATTGCCTGTTCTAATCACCTCCAGACCCTCGGAGGGCAGGTGCCTCCCTAGCCGAGGACCCGCGGGAGCTGCCAGCACCTGGCCCTTCTCTCGGCCGCCCCAGGCCCGGTCCTGGGATGCCTTTGCCGCATCCCCCAGCCTCCGCTCCCGGTCGGAGCTGGAGGTCCTGGGGGGTGGCCGGGATGCAGCCCCTCTCCCTCCCCCCACCATGGGAGGGAGGGCTGTCGGGCTTGGGGCGGGCTCCCGGATTCCGGGTCCCCAGTGGCCGCGGGGACTCCAGGCCCCGCCCCTCCTCGCCCCGCCCTGGCCTAGGGCAGTTCCGATAAGGGGTAACCGATGTCACTGGGCGCGGGGGGAGGGGCCTGGGGCAAGGGGGCGGGGCGGGGCGGCTCGCGGACGCGCGTGCGTCTCGGGGAAAATGTTGCGCAGGTTCTAAAATGGAACGTCGGCGGCGGCGGCGTGAGTGAGCGCGAGGGGGTGTGTGGCCGTGACCGTGGCCGTGGCTGTGGCTGTGCGTGGTGTGGGTGCGTGTTTGTGTGCGTGTGTGCGCGCCCGCCCCGGACCCCGCGCACCTTCGGGTGGCAGCAGGCGCAGCAGCAGCGGCGGCCGCCTCCTCTCGAACCCCGGGATTTTCTGCCCAGCCGCCCCCGCCGCCCTCCCGCATGGAGCTGTCTGCTATTGGGGAGCAGGTGTTCGCGGTGGAGAGTATCCGGAAGAAGCGCGTGCGCAAGGTGAGCCTGGCCGGGGGGCGGCGGCCTCCACGTCCCACCTCTGTGCATGGCTACTCGGGGCCCGCCGCCAGTGGCGAGGCACGGAGAGGGCCCCCGAGCCGTCCTGGTGCAAGTGGGGTGCTGGCAGGGGGAGGAGGCACTTCTGCGGCAGCGGGTTTGGGGGTCTCCTTTCTGCGCCTCTGACTCTCTTGCGGAGCTGGGCACTCAGGGAGTAAGATGAGGAAGCCTGGGCTCCCTTTGGCCAGTGATCTTGGGAGCTTGCCGAAGGCTCAGCCGAATACCCGCCTCAGTTTCCCGCCTTGAAGAACTGGGAGGATAAAGCGGTTATTATCCTGAGTGGCCAATAGAGCGCTTTGAGATCCTCAGCTCTGGAGTAACCTCTAAGTACTCAAGTTGGGGGTGGAACTTTGCGGGAGGGAAAAAAAAGTCGCTAGTCTTGCGTGCCTCCTCCCCCCGTGTCTGCGGCAGGTGAACTTGGCCATGATTCCTGGGACACCACTTCCTCCTCTTCCCCCATCCCCCCCCTTCCCCATCTTTCCCCACCCCCCTAGTGTCCCGAGACCGCATGTCCCAAGACCGCGTGTTCAGACTTCCCTGGAGGATCCTAGCTCGCCAGGGCCAACACTTTGGAGCTCTTCGAGGTCCTGGGACGGCCCCTAAACTCCGCCCTCCGGGTGAAGAGGGTTGGGCCTTTCAGGTCCATTCAGAGCCTGACCTAGGCTGGGGTGAGGTGGGGGAGGTGCAGGGCGGAGCTGGGCTCTGGTACCCTTTGGCTGCCCCAGGGCCCTGGACAGAGTGAACCCGTGGCTTTAGTAGGCTTCCAGAGCTTCGGCAGTAGTCTCCAAGCTACCTGGCTTCCAGCAGCGGAATCCCATCCCACCCCATCCCACCCTAGCCATTCTTTTCCCTCCTTCCTGGAGTCCGGCAGGGAAATGGGCCGATTCTGATCTCAAAGCTGAGAGCATCACTCTGGTCCTACCTCCTGAGTGTTAGGGAGGGGATGAACGGGCTTTCTCTTCCACCGTAGACGGCAAGAAGGCCATCGCAAGCATTCATTAAGCAAGGGGAACGCAAACAGAGGCCAACAACCCCACCCCCCTCCCGGCTCCTAATTGAGTCCCGTGGCTCTTCGGAATCAGCTTTAGAGCTAACGGGGCCTCATATAATAGAGGAGCCCCGAGAGGTTAAGCCAGAGGTCGACCTCCATTCAGGTCCCCTCGCTCCACTTTAAAGAAGGCGGGTCATTGTAGTTTAGCTGTTAAGGACACGCTCGGAGTTTCTGTTGCCTTTCTGGAGCCCAGAGCTCTCCAGGTAGGCTTTGCCGCCACTTTTTGAGCTCCATGACTGTGATTTTAATTTCATGGAGAATTCCCGGCATGGCAGTTCCCTTCACAGGAGCCATCGGCCCTCATCTGTTACTTAGTCTTACAAAGTTGCCTGGGGACTCTCAGAGCTTCAAGTGACTTGCCGAGGTCATGAAACCTATAAGTGGGACTGGAAACCAGGTGTTCTGACTCGGGGGCTGGTTCACTTACCACTGTAAGTTACAGGCAGCACTCCTTTTCTGTGTGTATTAAAAGAAATCTTTGTTAACGTGTCTATACAGTGTAGTAACTAGATGTGGATCTGGCTTCAAATCGTAGCTCAGCTCTTTATTTCCTACATGACCTTAGGCAAATCACTTAATTTCTCTGGGCCTCAGTTTCCTTGTCTGTAAAAATGAGTGGCCTCTGCAGTTACTCCTAGCTCCAGAGCTTGGGCCCGAAGAGCTGGGACTTGACCTCCCTGGGCCTTAGTTTCCCCATCTGTAAAATGAGGGAATTGGCCTACATAGTCCCTGAGGTCCCTCTCAGCTCTGGGGAATAGCCCACATTATGTGGGGCTTTAGTTTCCAAAGCACTTTCCTTACAGAAACCTCCTGCCCATCTACAGGCATTACTATAGTCACATTTTATAGATGAGAAAACTGAGGTGTCCCCAGGAGTTAAGCAATTAGCCTACTGAATGTCATTGCTGGGGCTCAGATGGAACCCTGCAGGTACCAAGCTTGGAGCTCTTTCCATGGCACTATGCTGCCTCTTATGGGGGACTGAGGTCTAGACCACAGGCCAGGCCCCCTAAGTTCAAGGCCCCAGCTCCTTAGCCCATCACTTCCCCAAGAGCTGAGTTCGGCTTAGAGGGAGGGGAGATGTCCCAAGAAGGCGTCTTCTTCTGTTAGAGCTTTAAAAGTTTTTACAAATACTTTTGAAGGTGCTGGAAAATGGATATTTTCCTCCCAAGACTCTTTCCTGGTCAAGGGAAGCTTAGGGTGGCCCAGGGTGCTGTTGCTCCCTGGATGTGTGAGTCCTGGGACTGCCCAGGGCAGAGCTGGAGGAGCTCCGTGCCCTCTGTGGCTGACGGAGCGATAGTGTGGTGTTGACGATCGCATCCATGTGCTGCCAGCCAATGTTGATCTGGGAGCCTGGGTCCAGCCCTCCCTCGGCCCTTCCTCAGCACCTTTTCAGCCAAGGACCTGTGGCTTCCATTTAGTACTCACTGTGTGTTCTCTCTGCCTCCTCTCCTGTCTCTCTCTCTCTCTCTCTCTCTCTCTCTCTCTCTCTCTCTCTCTCTCTCTCTCTCTCGCTCTCTCTCTTCCCAGGGTAAAGTGGAATACTTGGTCAAGTGGAAAGGATGGCCCCCAAAGTAAGACTCGTTTGTGTGTACGTGTGTGTCCATCCGTCTGTCTGTCACAGTAACAATACCAGCACACCCCAGACTGAGCCCGGGCTCCAAGGACTCCCCTCCGTCATCCCTTCTTCCCTTCCACAACCCGCCTCTTATAGAGCCAGATGCTTATGGATCAGCCAGCACACTGCAAGGCACTGTGGGGTACAAAGAGGAAGAAGGCATAGCCCTGCCCTCAGGGAGGTGACCGTTTAATCCGGCTGGACCTCAGATACAAGCAGGATCCAAGCAGAGGGGCAAGAGATCAGAGAACCTTTGTGGACAATAGCAAGTAATAACACCCCATAATGCTTTCAGATTTACAAAGATTAGCTCATCTGGCTCTCACAAAAGCCCTGGGAGGTTGAGGCTATTATTATTGTCACCACTTTACTGATGAAGATAATTGAGGCGAACAGAAGTTAAGCCACTTGCCTAGGGTTACAGTTAAGAACTGTCTAAAGTAGGATTTGAATTCAGGTCTTCCCTTCTTGAAGGAAGAGGATTTGGACAGGCAGCTTGAAAGTTGTTTTTTAATTGATTCCTTTAGTTTGTGCATCCTTTTTATTTCCCACTATATTCCTGCCCCAAACAACTGGGTGCTTCAGTGGATTGTCAGGAAACCCTTGTTCAAATTCAGCCTCAGATGCTCTGTAGCTGTGTGTCCCTGAACAAGTCACTAAGCCTCTGTTTGCCTCACTTTCCTTAGCCGTAAAATGGGATAATGACAACACCTACCTCCCAGGGTTGTTGTGAGGATCAAATGAGATATTTGTAAAGGGTCCTTAATAAATGCTTATTCCCTTCCCCTTCCCTTTCCCACCACCCTCTATAAAGAGCCAAATCCTGTATAAAGAGTTAAAAAGAGAAAGGAGGAAAAAGTAATTCTGCAAAAACTAACCAACACACCATCCAAAGCTGGCAGTATATTCCACATTCTGCCCCCACAGGCCCCCACCTCTGCAAAGTCCTTCCATTCTTATTCCCAGGGGAGGGAAAGCCCTTCACACTCAACCCATCCCAGTATCTCATTTAACAAACATTAAGCACATACCATGCTCTGGAGGAAAGAGAGCTAGCATAGGAGTCAGGAAGACCTGGGTTCAAATTCTGCCTGTAACCCATCCTGGCTGTATGACCCTGGATGAGTCCCTGAACTTTTCACTGTTCCCAGCTAATTTGCTGGGACTGTAAGTTGGGAAGAAGCCTGCATTGGTGTAGGGAGTTTCTGCATCTGAGGGTCAGTCCCTGATGCCCGTGGAATCACATGTCTAGCTCCAACCATCAGGCACCCAGCCTAACCCTCTCATTTTACAGAGGAGGAAACTGAGGCCTGGGCAGATGAAGTGGTTTGCCCAAGGTCACACCTCCTGCGCAGTCAGTGTCAGACATGGGGTTTCCCTCTAACAGACTGTGGTTCCTGCCCCGGAGCTGTCTGATCCCTACAAAGATAAATGACAACGTAGTATAGACACTTCCTTGGGGAAGGACCAGTGTTCCAGCGTGGTGGAGGCTAAGAAAACACAAAGTTTATACAAAGTAGTTTCCAGGGGAAAGAAAGTGACAAGTGAAGATGGGGTGGGAGGAGGAAATGGGTTTCTTCCCCTCCCCCCCTCACCACTTGCCTGCCCTGGTCATCTTTGAGGTCTGAGATCTGGGGCCTGGGCTACCCAGGCTGCTGGACACAGGGACCAGAGAGCTGGAGGTGGGGGGAGATGCCACCCAAGAACCAGTTATTCCAAATAGTTCCTTTGGAGAGAGAGAGCAAAAATTTCCTTTGGACGTGCCCTGCCTTGCCCAGAGCAGGGCCCAGAAGACAAGCAGGCGTTAATTAAGCACCTAGTGTGTGTCAGGCTTGCAGCCGGGTGCTGCTACAGTGGATGGAGTACCAGCCTGAAGTCAGGAAGTGTCATCTTTCTAAGTTCAAATCTAGTCTCAGACACTTACTAGCTGTGTGGTCCTAGACAAGTCACTTTACCCTGTTTGCCTCATTTTCCTCATCTGTAAAATGAGCTGGAGAAGGAAACAGCAAACCACTCCAGTATCTCTGCCAAGAAAGTCCCAAATGGGGTCACAGAGAGTCGGACAACGCTGAACAGCAGAGTGCTGGGGTTACAAAAGCCAGTCCTTGCCTTTGGGGAGCTTACGTGGCATCATAGGCTTTTAAAAAGGCTTTGTGTTTGTATTTGGGTCAGTCACTTCTGGGCAGGACCCTCTCTCTTCCCCCACCCCACTTTCATGAACCTTCCCTTGTGGGAGAAGCTGTGAACACCCAATCCAGTGGCCTCATCTAACACCCCACACCCATAGCCCATCGCCTTTCTAAAAGGATGTCTGCTGGAGAGCTGGAAGGGACCTTGGAGATAATCTAATACAGACTCCCCCATGTCACCGAGGAGGAAACTGAGGCCCAGAGGTGGAGGCTACTTGCCCAAGCTCACACAGGCAGTGAGCAGCAGTGTGGGAATTCAGACCCAGGTCTTCTGACTGAGTCCGATGGTTTTTTTCTACTCCGTCAGCCCCAGGAGAATGTAAGCTTCCTGAAGGGAGGGGCTACTTTTCCATTGTTTCTGTATCCCCAGCAGCCTAGAACGTAGTAAGTGCTTAATAAATGTATGTTGGATTGGATTGCTTTCTAGCAAAGCCCATCTTTGCAAGGCTAGCCCCTCATCCCAACTTGTTTTGGCATTCAGGCAGCTGGAGCCCCTCCCGTAAGGAAAATTGTGTTGTTGAAGGGAGAAAGCAGAGATTAAGTGTTTATTAAGCACCTACTGTGTGCTTATGTCAGGAAGCACTGATGGGCAATGGTATCAAACTCAAAACCAGCTGCATATACACTTAGAAAGCCACAGGCTAACATTATCTATGTTTTGTTGTATTTTTACTCATTTTGTTAAACATTTTCCAGTGACATCCAGTGATGCAGCTGGGGAGTTTTGGTGGAGGCAAATTTGATCCCTCTGCTGAAGGGGATAAACAGGATCCATGCGAAGGATTTCCAAGGGAAAGGGGGAAGGGAACAAGCATTTATTAAGCACCTACTGTGTGCCAGGCACTTTACTGAGTGCTTTATAATTATTCTCTCATTGATCTTCACAACAACCCTGGGAGGTGGAAGCTATATGATTCCCATTTTACAGTTGAGGAAACTGAAGCAGAAAGCGGGATCAGTGACTTCCTAGGATCGCACGGCTAGTACGTGTCTGAGGCAGAATTTGAACTTGGAACTTCAGACTCCAGGCTGAACACTCTATGCGCTGTGGCACCCCTAGCGGCCACTGGATGAACTCTGCCCTCATAAGAGCTGTCCAGCAGGGCAGCAGCCACAGGGGCCTGCCTTGCCTTGGGGGGCCAGGAGAGGGTGGGAACTCTCTCCTAGAGTATCAAGGGGAGATGTTATGGAGGGGCCCCAGGGTGGGCTAGACCCCCTCCTGCATTCCAGGCTGGAGAGTGATTCACGTCCCCTCCTTGAGATGTGGCTGCCCCAGGAGCCTGTCCTGAGCTGGCAGGATCTCCCTGGGCTGACCTTGGTTGCCAAATCATCTCAGTGGAAAGCAGGCTTGGTTTGGAGTTAGCAGACCTGGGTTCGAATCTGCATTTGGCCACTTGCTACCTGTGTGATGTCACTTCCCCTCTCTTCCCAATCTCCTTGTCTGTAAAATGAGGGGGTGGGACTCAGTGGCCTCAGAGGGCCCTTCTAGCTCTGAAGCTAGGCTCCCATGATCCCTTTGGGTATGGAAGAAGTAGTGCCTGAGCTAGACCTTGAATGCTTTTAACAAGTGGAGGACCAGGCTACAGGGTACAGAAGACACTCCAGTGCTGGTGATAGAATCAGTTAACCAATAAATTAATTAAATACCTAAAAAAAAGGCAGTCTAGGTGGAGGGCACTTCAGTGAGCAAAGTCCCAGAGGTGGGAAAGTGAAGGCAGGAGTTGAAGGGAGGGAGCACAGAGATGGAAACACAGATTAATTAGCCCTGCACCAACGTGGTGAGGGTCCTAGAAACTCTTCCCCTGAAGAAGGGAGTACTTGGAGGGCTAAGGGTGGGAAGGGGCATGATCTCTGTCTTCCAGTATCTGTAAAACAGCCAAGCAGAAGAAAGCCTCGCTTGACCCCCAAGGGCAGACCTTCCCTGAGGGGGAGCTGCAGGAGGCAGATTTAGGTTCATTAGGACAAGCCTAAATCTCTCCTCCTTTTCCCATCAAGGTTTCAGACAATGAGAGCTGTCCCAAAGTGGGATATGCCACCTCAGGAGGTAGTGAGCTCCCCGTTACTGATAGTCTTCAAGTAATGGCTAGATGACCACTTGTCAGTGGAGGTACAAGCTGGACTAGATGACTTCAGAGGTCCCTCCAGAGCATGTGAAGGAACACTAGAAAGCTGAGGGTAGTGGGGGTCATTTTGTGCAGGGCTTTGAATGCCAGGATAAGAAGTTTGGACTTCATGGTAGGATGTTGGCTCTGGAGTGGGAAGAAATCTTAGAAGGCATCTAGTCTAACTCTCTCATTTTGCAAATGAGGAAACTGAGGCGCAGAGAGGGGAAGGAGCTTGCCTGAGGTGACGCAGTAAGGGGGGTGTCAGAGGCGGGCCCCTCCAAAGGGACGGCTGCAGGGGGCTCTGTCATCTTACCGAGTGGCTGAGCTCACTGCGAGAGGACAGAGGTAGGGCCTGGTGAAAAGCTAGCCAGAAGCCCGGCTCTGACTCGGGATCAGTCGGTGAATGTCTCTGCCCCTTCGTCCTGGGGAATATGAAGGGCTGGGCATGATGACCCGTCCCCAGGTGCCCCGAGGAGTGCTGATGGCTCTCTGCCTCGCTCCTCTGTCCCGTCCCCGTTGCAGCCCCTGGAGATGGGGGGGGGCTGAGGCTGCGCTGAGTGTGCCCTCCTTCCCCTGGAGCCTGCTCCTCCCCCCTCCCATCAGTTGGCATGAATGCCAGGCTGGGCTCTGAGTCAGCTTCAGCATGCTTGTTTACAAGTTCCTTACAGAGGTGGGGAGGAGGGAGAAGGAGGAGCCAGGAGGGAGAAGGAGGAGCCGGGAGGGAGCCCGGGTCACATGGCCTGCTGTTTTCCGGCTGCTCAGCTTCTCCCACGCCCTCCATCACTGAGCCCAGCCTCCCCCGACCCCATCCCATCCCCCTACTCAGATCTGTCAAACTGCAGGGTGGTGCCCCAGGGCATTTAGTGCTTTGTGTTCAAGAGGCTGCCCCTTCACCCCACCCCCCACCCCCTCACCCCTGCCCACCATACTCCTGACGTGCTGGCCTGGACTGTCAAAGCTGGGAGGGCTATTAGAACAGGAGATGTCAGACCTGGGAGAAGCATTAGAACATGGAATGTCCGACCTGGGAGAAGCATTAGAACGTGTGATATCAGAATAGGGAGAACTGTTAGAACATGGGGTATCAGATCTGAGAGAGGCTTTAGAACAGGGGATGTCAGACCTGGGAAAGGCTTTAGAACATGGAATGTCAGACCTGGGAGAGTCACTAGAACATGGGATGTCAGACCTGGGAGAAGCATTAGAACGTGTGATGTCAGAATAGGGAGAACTCTTAGAACATGGGATGTCAGACCTGGGAGAGTCACTAGAACATGGGATGTCAGACCTGGGAGAAGCACTAGAACGTGTGATGTTAGAATGGAGACAACCATTAGAACATGGGATATCAGACATGGGAGAAGCTTTAGAACATGGGATGTCAGACCTGGGAGAGTGACTAGAACATGGGATGTCAGACCTGGGAGAAGCACTAGAATGTGTGATATCAGAATAGGGAGAACTGTTAGAACATGGGGTATCAGATCTGAGAGAGGCTTTAGAACAGGGGATGTCAGACCTGGGAAAGGCTTTAGAACATGGAATGTCAGACCTGGGAGAGTCACTAGAACATGGGATGTCAGACCTGGGAGAAGCATTAGAACGTGTGATGTCAGAATAGGGAGAACTATTAGAACATACCTGGGAGAAGCTTTAGAACAGGGTATGTCTAAGCTGAGAGATCTTAGGGATGATCTAGTCCGACTTCCTTATTTTACGGATGGAGAAACTGAGGCCCAGGGGGGCAGACTAAGTCACCCACAGTCACACAGCAAGTCGGTGGCAGAGTTAGAACCCCTGCTGCAGGTCACTGGGTGACCAGCCCCCATTCCCCTGACATTTGGCCTCCTCTTCTTCAGCTCCTCGTATGGAGCTTGCTCTATGTTCTGCTGAATTGCTGCCCGGCCTCCCAGCTCTTCCCAGTTCCTCCCCTTCCTGACCCACTCCCCACGTCCCCCAAAAGGAGCATGCGCTAGGAAGTACAGAGGATGTGCCCGGCACTGGGCTAAGTGCTTTACAAGTATGATCCCATTTGATCCTCACCCTCCTTGGGTTCCTTGGCTGCCCTCTCTCTGTCCCAGGAGGAAGGGAATTTCCTGCTTCAAATGATGTCATTCTGTGGGGGCTGGAGGGCAGGGGTATGGATGAAAGGCTGCAGGAGGAGAGGTGGGGGATTGAGGGAATCCAGGCCCAGGCAGCTGACTCATCCTGCTTGTCTCAGCCGGTCCCCTCCTGTGTGGAACTTGGAAAAAGTTGCCATTTTCTGCCCAAGTTAACCTTTGGGCAACTCACGGGCCTACGTTCCTCCTCTGCAAAAGGGCTGGGTGACTAGAGGATTCCTAAGGACCGCCCCACCCAAAGCTCTGACACCCCCTGATCTAAAGGCCCTCCCAGCTCTGACATTCCTCGTTCTGAGTCTCTTCCCTGCCCTGACATTCTCTGTTCTGATCTCCCTCCCAGCTCTGACATCCCCTCTTCTAAGCCTTTCCATGTTTTACCTGTTCTGTCCCTGCTCTGAGCACTTATCTTACTTGGTCCCTCTCATGCCTTTTTCATATTCAGGTCAGAACTGGGAGGGTCCTTAGAACAAGGGATGTCAGAGCTGAAAGGGAGCTTGGAACAGGGGATGTCAGACCTGGGAGAAAACTTAGAACAAGGGATGTCAGAGCTGGGAGAGCGTTAGAACAAGGGATGTCAGAGCTGGGAGGGACCTTTAGAACAAGGGATGTCAGAGCTGGGAGGGACCGTTAGAACAAGGGATGTCAGAGCTGGACAGGACTTTGGTTATCACCTACTCTGACCCCTTCTTTTTTGTGGATGAAGACATTAAAACCAAAAAGGACCAACTGACTTACCCAAGGCTCTCTTCCCAGCACTGACCCTCAGGAAGCTTCTAGTCTAGCAGGGTAATGAGACTGTGACTTCTCCGTGGGTAATCTTGATACATAGGCCACGATAAGTGAGTGCTATGAGATCACTCCTAGCCAGGTGGCATTCTGAGAATGAAGGAGGACTTCATGGAGGAGTCAGATTTGGGGGGCATTCTGAGAGTGAGGGAGGGCTTCACAGAGGAGTCAGATTTCCAGGTGGGCCTTGAAGGCTGCTGCTGCTGCATGCACCATTGGCAAACCTCAAGCTCAGGCAGGAGAGAAGGACAGAGCAGGGAGGGGTCCCAGGGAAGGTCCGAAGGTGTCTTGGGCAGGGGAGACAGGAGACCAGAGCCATGCCCGCCAGGGTCCTTCCTGCCCCAGAGTGGCCACTGATGGGTGTCACCTTTCATATCTTTCCCCAGGTACAGCACATGGGAGCCAGAAGAACACATCCTGGACCCCCGCCTTGTCATGGCATATGAAGAGAAGTAAGCCAGCCCTTTGTTTTCCCTGCTGGTGTGGGGAGGGGGCAGGCAGTGGGGGGGTCCATGCCACTGTTCCCGAGCATTTCCTGAGCCTCTGTCCTTATGCTTAGCCTGAGAGTACAGAGGAGCCCCAGGCAAGATCCCTGCCCTCACCAACCCACGGTGGAATCATTTCTACCAGCACTTAATGAAGCACCTACTATGTGCTAGGCTCTGGGGATACTGAGGTGAAAAATGGCATAGGCTCTGGCCTCAAAGGCAGACTCCCCCTCTTGGTGGGCAAATGAGCCGGACATCAGAGGGACAGAAGAGGTCACAGACAACTAAGGTTCAGGGTGGAATCCAGGCAGGCTTCATGGAGGAGGTGACATCCAAGTGGGACTGGAAAGGAAGGTCATGATTTCAGCAGACTGAGAGAGAAGAGTACGCTTCAGTCTTGCTGGGCATACAGCTTGTACCCGTGGAAGTGTAAGCGGCAGAACAACGGGTGTCCCAAGGCAGCACATGATTGAGGGCCAACCAGTGGCCCAAACAGCTTCTGCCCAGCCTGGGGAGGAGACATCATGGAGAACCCTGCCTTCCTACTTCCTGTAAATTTGCCTCAGTTTACCTCTATAGACTAAGCCAGAGACATTCTTATATCAGTGAGAGATCACTTCCACTACCACCTTTAACCCCCTGTAGGGGAATGAGGGCTTGCCTGGGAGTCAGAAGACTTGGGTTCAGGTTCTCGTTGAACCTGAGAAAGTCCCTGCCCTCAAGCAGCTTACAGTCATGTACCTAGAGATGATCCCTTTGGGTGGTGTTTCCTACATCCCTGACCCATTGTGCTGCATTGGTCCAGACACCTGGTCCCTCTGTGCCTCAGTTTCCCTGCAGGGGAAATTAATATAAACACAATAACAGTTTTGGGGAATTTTTTAGTTATGGTTGTGGTGAAAATAGCTCATAGAATATTGTGATCTTTAGAGGGAAGAAGCACCAGTCTAAGAGTAATAAGATGCAAGGTCCAGTTCAGTCTGGATGTGTGACATGGAAAGGCTGCTTCCTCCCTAGGCCTCAGTCTTTTCATGTATGAAATGGGGAGGTTGGACTACTTGCCCTCTAAGCCATCTAGCTCACAGATGCACAGGTTGTCAGAGCTGGAGGGGAATTGGAGTAGAGAATGCCTGTATTGGGAAGGGGCTTAGAACTGAAGTCTGAGCTGGGAGCAGTCACACAACACAGAATGGTAAAGCTATGAGGCAGTGCTGAATTGGGAGTCCGAGAACCTAGGTTCAAGTCTTAAAACTCTGTTACGCCTGTGTGCGCAAGTTCCTTAACTTCTCTGAACCTAGTTTCCCTCTCTGTAAGAGGAGGGAGGTGGATAGATCATCCCTAAGGTGTCTCTCAGTTCAAAAGTGAGAATCCCATGACCTGGTCCTACTCTGTTGTACAGAAGAGAAAACTGAGGAGGCTCAGGGAGCTGAAGTCCCAGGCTTATAATCCAAAGGTAGGCAGAGGCCTTGGGAATCGTCCTGGCTGTCTCATGGGATATGAATTCCTCTCTGACATCCAGTTTTTGCTTGGAGACCTTCAGCAAGGGAGAAGGCCCTCCTGCTAGCTCAGTGGCCCATCTGTGATGGGGGAACTCTAAACATTGGGATGTTCTTCACTCTGTGTTACTGAAGTTGGCTTCCCCATAACTTTCATGACCTTGGTTTTGGCCTCCCCTTTCTTGTGGCTAAGTGACCAGGACACCACAGGAGTAAAGAGGAAAGAGTCCTGTATCCAAAGTCCTGGTTCTGGCCCTGACCAGCCAGGGACCTTGGCCAAGTCCCCATTTCCCTGAACCTCAGTTTCCCCCTTTATAAAATGAGTAGTTTGCATTGGGTGACCTCGGAGAGATCTTCCAGCCTTAAAGAGGTTAACAAGCATTATGAAGCCTTTGCTACACAGACAAAAGGAGCCAGTCTCTGCCCTCAGGGTGCTTCCAGTCACCCCATGAGGAATATTCCCTGTGGGTGAACTTTCCCAGCTCCCTCCCTCCCAACAACCTCTTAGATGGCCTTGGTTTAGACACTCACCATCCCTCTACCTTGGTTCCCTTTTGAGGAACCTGTCAACTGGCTTTTTTTCCAAGGCATGTTCATCTTGGCCTTTCACTTGAAGAGAACAAAGTTTGATTCTCTTCCATTCACAAACATTTGCCCAGCATCTGTTGGGTGCCCAGCACTGTACTAGGATAGGCACCTATCCTAAGTATGGAAAACAGGAAAGGAGAATAGTACAGTATAGAGACTGGACACACACACGTATGTGTGTGTGCATATACGCACACATATACGGACACTCATACTCTTACATATCCATACATACTCATAAACGTACACACGTTCGTATACTCATATTCTTACACATGCAGTCACATACTCTATATACATGTATACACACATTCACTCATACATATACACACACACATTCACGCTCTCACATACACACATTCTCTCTGTCTCTCACACACACGTATGTGTGCGTGCATATATGCACATATATACTGACACTCATACTTTTACATATACATACATACTCATAAACATACACACGTTGATATACTCATATTCTTACACATACAATTACACACTCTATATACATATATACACTCATTCACTCATACATATACACACACTCACACACATATGCGCACTCTCACACACATTCTTTCTCTCTCTCTCACACACACACACACACACACACACACCCCAGAGGCCAGGAGGGCAGACAGCCGGTACCAGGATGTTCCCAGGAGGGCCTCATCTGCAGCAGATGGTCCAGAAGATGGGGCATAAATCAAATCTAACATTCCATTGACTTGTAGTTTACAAGAGTCTTTAATCTCCATTTTTTTACTCATTTTTTCATTACTTTATATTACTTTAATTGGTATCTCTTGGTTTTATGTCACCTTTATTTCCAAATTATTCTTCTTCCATAGAAGACCGTCCCCATGACGAAGGATACAAAAGGCAAGGGGGAAAGTAGCTCACGGAAACTAGGCGAGGTGTCCTTTGAGTGGTGTAGACCATGTTCTGCATCCGTAGACCCCCGCCTCTGCAAAGAAGGGAAGGAAGGCCATTTTGTCTTCCACTCTTTGGGGCCAAGCCTGGGCATTGTAATCACACAGCATGTTGGACCCATTTTCAGCAGAGAGTCTTTCTGGATCCCCTCTACCCTGTCCCCAGCCTCTCTGCCAAGGTGTGGATGGCCCATTAAAAATAAAACAAAACAATAAAACAAACCTAGGGCATCCTAGAGGTGAGGAGGCTGCCTCTTTTTGTGAAGTGCTCTTCTGATTTCTGGGTTTGGACTTGACCTAGCAAAATTCCTTGATTCAGTTTATTTAAAACATGTATTAAGGCTCTCCTGAGACCCCATCCAGGTGGTCAGGCAGAGCATGCCCAGGGCAAAACCAGGAGGAAGATGCCACTCCCAAGAGACTTCCTGGAGGAAGTAGCATCTTGGGATCAGATATAGGTCTGAGAGGCCGCCTCATCTGATCCCTTCATTTTATAGAGGAAGAAACTGAGGCTTCCCTGGGAGTGTGAGTGATTTGCTGAAAGTCACACAGGGAGGAACGGGCAGGCCCGGGTTTTGAGCCTAACTCATAGATATGCCTTGAGGTACCTTTTTGCAATACGAGCACAGGATCAGAACTGGGGGAGACTTTAGAGGTAATTTTACAGATGAAGAAACTGAGGCTCAGGGTGAGGAGGTGACTGGCACAGGGCCACATGGGCAGGATCCTAGGTCTAGATCTGGAAGGGACCTAAGAAGCCCCATCTCATCGAAGCTCCTCCCTTCATTAAGGAGGAAACTGAGGCCCACACGCATCAAGAGGCAGGATTTGAATCCAGGCCCTTTGACTCCAAACCCAGAATTCTTTCTGTTGCATCCCACTGCCCAGCCTTCACTGAGCTGAGCCTCCATAGGAAGAAGGGTTTCTGGCTGATGGGGGCGGGGGTGGTGCTGGGGATGAGGACCTGGCTTTGGCCCTGGATTCCAAGCCCTGGGTTCAAAACACACACACACACACACACACACACACACACACACACACACTCTCTCTCTCTCTCTCTCTCTCTCACAGACACATAACTCTTACACTCGTACACACACTTGTACACACACAATACACATACAGACATTCACACTCTTGCACTCACACACACAGTCACACATACACTCATGCACACTCCCACAATCTATGAACTCACATACACAAAACACACTCATATGCAGTATACTCACATAATACACACACACACTATATTCACATGCAAATACACGCACACAGTACACATTCACACACCAATACACACTCATACACTAACACAAGAGCACAATGCACGTACTCATACATATACTCCCACATAGACACACACACATATGCATTCTCACACACATACAGTCAAACACAATATACACATAGACACACTCACATAGTATACATACATACATACACTCATAGACTACACGCAGCCTGCCACGCACACTCATACATACGCTCACACACATACACATATGTACATACTTTCATTATCAACACATCATACACAGCACACATGCTCACACACTCATATGCACATGTATACACAATGCACACATGTGCCCACTTGCACACACACAGTCACACGCAAGACATTCACGATCTGCATTCACATAGGCACAGATACACTCTCTTGCACCCACACTCACACGCATGCTTTTATTTGCACACACAGCATACACACATGCTCACTCATATGCACACACACAGCCACACACAAGACATTCACAATCTGTACTCACATACTCACAGACACACCCTCTTGCACCCACGCTCACACCAGAGGGCAGGCTAAGAACAAGGCAGCACAGCGTGCCTGCATCAGCTGGAACACTGAGTACGTGCCGGGACAGGGACATCCTGGTGCTGACAGGGGGCCCAGCCCGGCCTTGGTACATGCAGCTTGTTTACCTACGGGGTGGGGGAGAGGGGCCGGAGCTGAGGGGGTTGCTGGGGAGGCTGCTCTCGCTGGCCTCCCGCACAGCACCACCGCTGCTCCGGCCGTGCCCTGCAGCCCTTTGGGGTTCTCTCTGTCCTCCCAGTGGGCTGGAGCCGGGAGCAGATGCTCGGCAGCCTTGCAGCTGGGGCATGTCTGTCTGGGAACGCACTGAGCCTTTGGAGGCTCAAGTTTCCGCGTCCGGGGATTTTCCGAAGCTGGGCCCCAGATTGAGGCTGACAGACAGCAGCTCAGATCCCTGCTTCTGTGGCCCAGAGCCATCCCCCTACACAAACGCTGCTCCAGCCCAGCTGGATCACTGACGACCTTGATCTTGACCTTGGGCTGCCCTCACCTCCTTCCATGGACTTGGGATGCCCCACTCCTCTCCACCCTTCAGAAATCATCCATTCCATCCAGCCCCAGGGCTGCTCCCAGAGTGCTTTGCACTTTTCAAAGTGTTCTCCTGTCTTTCTCTTGACTCACAAGATTCCTGAGAGGTTGGGAGGGTCAGGAATTATTATCCCCATTTTACAGGTGAGGTAAACTGAGGTTCAGAATGGCTAAGTGGTTTATCCAAGGTTATAGAGCACAGAGCTGGAAGGCCCTAAGAGGCCACTTGGTCTAACCCCCTCATTTTACAGAGAAGGAAACTGAGGCCTAGAAAGGTCATGTGACTTGACCAAGGTTACACAGCTAGTATCTGAGGCAGGATTAGAACCTAGGTCTTCTGACTTCAAATCCAGGATTTATTCTGTGGTGCCAGAGATCAGAGAGAGTGGATTCACACTTGGTAAGATCCTAGTATTAGGGAACATTTGGGTCAATCCATTTTACAGAGGAGGAAACTGAGGCCCCAGAAGTCTCTGACTTGCCTGAGGTCATACATACAAGTGGCACATAGCAGAGTCAAGACTTGAGCCCAGGTCCTTGGACTCCAAAGTTTGGAGTTTCTTCCGTTTTTAATGTTTCTACATCAGAGCACTTCTTAGACCCCCAACAACAATCTCATCTTTTGAGTCTTCCCTTATAACAAAGACATTTATGCAAAAACAACAGAAAATAGCAGCATGTGATAGGATATATAATATTCTGCACCCGTGGCCCCCCACCTCCTCCTAAAAGGTCCTGTGTCCAGAGCTGGAGGGAACCTCAGGCCATCTCGTCCACTCCAACTCCAAATCCCGTACAGGTACTTATGAAAGCGACAGGTGATCTCAAAGGCATTTTCTAGCTCTGATACTTTTGTTCATTCTGACCACTTTAGAAATTCGGACCCAAGAAGGTGGATTTACTTTCTCAAGGTCACCTTGGCAGTCTACAGATCCAGCACTAGAACCCGGAGTTCCTGGTAGGGCCGGCCTGCGCCTCACTGTAGAACAGAGTGTTCCAAGTCCCCGTGATGGGCCTCTTTCCTCCATCCCCCTTCAACGCCCCCCATCCCGGCCCTTCCAGTTTTCATTCTCTCTACTCAAACAGCTGCCAGGCGACTGTTGTGCGGTTGTGGGCTCGCCCCTTCCCGGCCCCCGGGCTCTGCTGGCTCCGTGTCTGTCTCTGGCTGCGGGAGGGCTCATTCTGTTCTCCATTAGCCCAGTTTGGGCTCTCTGGCTACATGGCTGGTCACGATCACAAGCTCCCCGAGGGCAGTGGCAGGGTGTGTCGTCCCACGGCTTCAGGCAGAATCAATTTATCTGGATTTCTTAAAACTGATAAATCGGGGTGGAGGGGGGTTGTGAGAGAAAGAAAGTTAGAGAGATGGGGGGGAAGGAGAGAGAAGAAGGGAGGGAAAGAAAGAAGAGAGAAAGGGAAGGGGGAGAGAGAGGGGAGAAGGAAAGAGAAAGGGAGGAGGTAGAGAAAAAGAAAAGGAGGGAAGGGGAGAGAGAAAGAGAGAAGGGAGGGAAAAAGAAGTAGGGGAGGGGAGGGAAAGAAAAAGGAGGGAGGGGAAAAGAAAGAAAGAAAGAGGAAGGGAAAGAGAAAGGGGGAAAGAGAGAGAAGAGACAAGAAAGGAGGGAGAGAAAAAGAGAGAAGAAAGGGGAAGGGAAAGAGAGAGGGTGAGAAAAAGAGAAAGAAAAAGAGGGAGGGGAGAGAAAAAAATACTAGGGAGAGAAAAAGAAGGAGGAAAGGAGGGGAAAAGAGAGAGAAAAGAGGGAGGGATAGAGAGAGAGAGAGAGGGAGAGAAAGGGAGAGAGAAGAGAAAAAGAGAAAACTTAGATGTAGATTCACTGTACGATACCCAGAACCTCTGTGATGGAAGGAGCTCCAGAGTCTGCCCAGTCCAACCCAATAGAATGTAAGCTCCTTGCGGGTAGGAACAATCTGATATTTGCCTTTGTGCCCCCAGCATCAGGCCCATAGTAGGTGCTTACTAAACATTTGTTGAATGAACAAGAACTCCCCAACAACATGCTGCCAAAGTGGTCATCTAGGCTTTTGTCTGGAGACCTCCAGTAATGGGGAGCTCACCACCTCCCGAAGACTCCCGTTTCTTGTTCTGCTAGCCCGAGCTGGGCAGTTTTTCCTAAATCCACCTCCTACACCTTCCCTCCAGCCTGGAACAGTGTAACTGGACAAGGTTAAATCCCTCCCTTGGGGCTTTTAAAGAAGAAAAGAATGTAATTCATGCACAGCATTGCCGGGCTTTCCCTAATCCCAAACGGCCCAGCCCTGGCACTCCCTGGGTTCTGGCCAGGAGAGTACCTGTGACAGTGAGATGTCCCCAGACAGGAATGTCCTCGGGTTGGCGCCTGAGGACCTGGGTTTGAGTCCCAATTCTGCCGTCGATCATCGGGTGTGGCACTTCCCCGCACCCCCACCCCCCAGGGCCTCAGTTTCACTTTCTGTAAAATGGAGGCAGTTGGCTGGGGCCAGTTGGCACAGGGCCCCTCCCCCAGCGTTGGAGTCAGCCCCAGGGCCCAGGTCGTGCTCAGCTGTCCTTGCCTTATCCATCATTGGTTTTTCCTTTTCTCCCTCCATCCGCCTCATGCCTCCCAGGGAGGAGAAAGATCGTGCATCCGGGTGTAGGAAAAGAGGTCCGAAGCCCAAACGGCTGCTGCTGCAGGTAACCCCGGGCCCTGCCCTCTCTCCCCTGACTCTGGCCTTGGGCACTGGGTGGATGGATGGGGCTCCCCGTGGTCCCCCTCCCAGCCCTGAACACTAGCCCAGGTCACTGTGGGAGGGGTGGGGAGCCCCAGAGGTCTCCCCAGCAGGCCAAGGTGCTTGTCACCACCAGCAGCATCAAAAAGCAACCAAGGAGAGCATGGGATGGCATTCCACCTGCAGGAGAAGGCATGAGCAAAGGCTCAGAGGGGAGAAAACACAGCATGCGGTGGGTGGATAGCAGGGAGGGCAGGAGCCTGGAGGATGTGAAGGGGAAGTAATGGGAACTCAGGTTGGTAGGGGCATCGAATGCCAGGAGCAGGAGCTCCAAACTTGTCCTGTTGGCAGTAAGAGCCATTGGGAGTTTCTGGGCAGGGAAGCAGGCATTTGTAGGGATTCGTTTGGCAGAAGACACTATCCTCTAACAGAGCAGGACTCAGGGAAAAATGGGACGTAGTTTTGGCGGCCGAAGAATGGGCCAATATCTGAAAAAGGCCAATCCTGATGGGGTGTTATGTCATAGTTCAAGAGTGGACAAGTCACTTCTCTCTCTAGGCCTCAGTTTCCTCATCTGTAAAATGAAAAGGGTCAGAGGACCTCCGAGGTCCCTTCCAGCATTAAATTCATGGCATTCCGGACAACGTAAGAAACAAGTATGAAACAACAAACAGTATCATTCGAATGTTTAATTCCTAGACTAATTCAGGGAGAAAAATGCTTGACTCTCGGAGCCAAGAGACCTGGGTTCAAATCCTGCTTCACTTACTAGCCATGGGCCTCAGTGTTCTCATGTATAAAATGGGTGTGGTGGTCCTTGTCAGGAGGAGGGGAGAATGGAAATGGGAGCTATTGATCTAGCTGGGTGATCGCCAAGGCCCCCTGATTTCCTGTTCGAGGGTACTGGGCATGGAAACCACACTCTACACAACTCAGGATCACGGGAGGGTTGGAGAACCTTGGACTTGGTTCATACTCTGGGTCTGGCTGACTCCTGGGCCTTGAATTCATGTATGTGACTTCATCCCCCCTGCTTGGTTGTAGGCTCCCTGAAGACAGGAACGAGGTCCTTTGTCCCTCTCTGCTTGCCCTGAGGTACACATGCTAGGGCCTTCAAGAAGCTTGGTTGAGTGATCGTGTGGTTCAGAGGTGTGGGCACTAGGCCAGAGGACCTGGAGTTTGAATCCCTGCTTTGCTGAGCCTTGGTTTCCCCATCTGCCAAATGAGCAGGCTGGTGTCAAGGACCCTCTAGGTCCCTTCCAGCCCTACATCTGTGGTCCTGTAATATGTGAAGGGGCTTGAGAATCTTAGATTCACATAATCTCCATTTATGTTGGAAAGGTAGACCAGACGCTCCTCTCACCTCCCTGACTAAAGACAGAAGGCTGGAGGAAGGGGGTTCAGCAGAGATCCCTCATTCAGGCCTCCCCTCACGCCGGCTAGCCCATCTTCGCATCCCCTTGGCTTCTGATGGGCCGAAGGAAGTCTATTCCACTTTGGGACACTCTGTGGTTAGGAATTATGTCCTGACATCGAGAGGAAATTTCCCTCTCCGTAATTTCCACCCATGGTTTCTGGTTATGCCCTCTGGGGCCAAGTGAAAGGGGCTAATCCCTCTTTCCCGATACCTGAAGACAGCAGTCATGTGCACCTGAGCCTTCTCTTCTCCAGACAAAACACCCTGAGGTCCTTCACCCAATCCTTTTATGACCTGGTCTTCCATCCCCTCCCCAGCCTGGTCCCCTTGTCTGTGTCCACTGGGGCCTCCCTGGAGCCTTGGATTGACCTAGCCTGCTGAGCACAAAGTCAACTCTCACTTTTTCTTCTCAAGGTTTCAAACCTGGCTTGACTGTCCCCCGGGCATGTAGCTGATGGTTGGTCAGTGGCCACATTTTTAGAGTGGCCAAGGCGTCTTAGTTTTCTCTTAGCACTAGAATGGAAGGTCCGTGCTAGTAGAGACTGTTGGATTTGGGGAGTGCCTGGGACATAGTAGGTCCTCAAAGAAGGCTTGTTGATTAGGTATCAGCAAAATGAGAGGGTTGAACAAGGTGGCCCCTGGTTGGAAGATTCTTAAATCTGTGCTCCTGTGAGCTGGGCTCTGTGCTGGCTATGGGGGAGATTGATGGTCAGTCCCTCCCCTCAGGAAACTTCAAATCTAGTAACAGCAGATAAGCCATGGATGCAATGACTGTGTGACAAAATCAAACACAATAACTACATAGGAGAAGGGCTGCCAAGGCAAAGGCAAAGTGGAAAGACCCTTAGAGGTCATCTAGCCTAATACCCCATTTTTACAGAGAGGGAAACTGAGGCCCCAAGAGGGCCCAAAGGGAGTAAATAACAGAGTCAGGACTCGAACCTAGATCTCCTGACTTCAAGTCTGTTACGAGACATTGCAGTATAGGGGAAAGAACGCGGGCTTTGGAGTCAGAAGACCTGGTTCAATTCCTGCATCTGATACTTACTGCTGGTGGGACCTTAGATAAGTCCCTTTCCCTCCCTGGGACTCGATGGCCTGTAAGTTCCTTTAATCTGTGATTCCAAGGAAGGAGAGATCCTTTCCCTCATGGGGGGTGGGGGCGCGCAGTTGGGGTGGCCTCAGCAGGAGCTCAGCCCTAAGGGACAGGCAGGACCTCAGTAGAGGGAGGAAATCGAGGTGGAGGCAGTGGGCCCTGGGGAGAGGCTTAATAGGTCTTGGGAGGTCACAGCAAGTAATTATTTTATTTATAATTAAAAACTAAAGAGAAAGTGGGGGAGAGAGTGAGCGAGCTGAGGGGGAGAGACAGAGAGTGAGCAAGCTGGGGTGGGGGGAGAGAAAGAGAGAGAAGAAACATATAGAAAGAGGAAGAGAAGGAAAGAGAAGAGAGAGACAGTGAGAGAGAGAGCATGACAGAGGGAGATGGAGGGAGGGACAGAGGGAGAGAGAGACAGCTGAGGAGGGAGAGAGAAACAGAGACAGAGAGTGCACACGGGCTCCCCAAATGTAACTGGGAAGGGAGTAGCAGAAGATAAGGCTAGAGATGGAGGACCCAAAAGAGCCCTGAATGCCAGAATCGGAAGCTTAAATTTTACCCTATAGGCAATAGGGAGCCAGGGAAGATTTTTTTTTTAGCAGAGGACTAACTCAGTTCTATAGCAAGTGAAAATAATCTGTTAATAATCAATATAGACATTGCACATGAACTTATTAGAATCCTGCATCAACTCATGAGAGAGAGCATCCTTTGAGATGTGGTTATCTGCATTTTACAGTTGGGAAAACTGAGACTTAGTAAGGTTAAGCGACTTGCCCAAGGTCACATAGCTAGAAATTCTCATGGGTAGAATTAGAATCCTGGTCTTCAAGTCAACTTAAATCCTTGAAGTCCAACCTGAAACCAGCAATGCTTGAGGCCCCAAAATGGCTTATCTTCTTCCCCCATGTCTGACTTGTATAAAATCCAAGTCAGGCAGCAGAAAACTGAGATGACTTTTCACTGTAGAGTTGGGTTTTTATTTTGTTTTCTCTTCTAAGCAATCTCATTTGGGGGCTGAGATGTCTCTCTAAGTCATTTTGGTCTATGCATTTCCACTTATTTGTTCAAGAATTTTGGGAAGTTTAGATGGAGGAAGAGGAGACTTTGGAGGGTCCATGGTAACTGTCTTCAAGTGTCTGAAGGGGTTTCTTATAGAGAAGCAATATGGCGTAGTGGGAAGAGAGTTAGAGTCCAAGGACCTGGGTTCAGATCCCAGCTCTGCTCCTCACCACCTGTGTGACCTTTGGCAAATCACTTCACTCCTCTGAGACTCAGTTCCTTCAGCTGTAAAATGGAAAGGGAGGGGTGCCCAGGTGACCTCTCAGGTCCTTTACATCTCTAAATCTGTGATCCTACCTAACAGCAGCAGGTGTAAATTACTCAGGTGTTCAAGAAAGACAATAAAACACAGGATGCACATTTTCAAATTTTGGTATAATCCAAAGTAAAAAGGAAGGAAGGAAAGAAGAAAGGAAGGAAAATAGGGAGGGAGGAAAGATAAAGAAAAAAGGAGAGATGGAGGAAAGAGAGGGAAGGAGAAAGGAAGGAAAGAAAAAAGGAGAAAGGAAAGAAAAGAGGGAGGGAGGAAAGAGGAAAAAAGAAAGGGACAGGGGAAAGAAGGAGGAAGGAAGGAGAGGGAGGGAGAAGGGAAGGAAGGAGGGGAAGGAAAGAAGGAAGAAGGAAGGAAAAGAGGGAGGAAAGAGGAAAAAGAGAGGAAAGAAGGAAGGAAAAGAGGGAGGAAAGAGGAAAAAGGAAAGAAGGAAGGAAAAGAGGGAGGGAAGAAAGAGGAAAAAAGAGAGAGGAAAAAAGGAGCGTGAAGGAGGGAGGGAGGGAGGAAAGAAAAGAGGGAAAGAGAAAAGAAGTAAAAAAGGGACGGGAAAGGAGGAAGGAAGGAAGGAGAAGGACGGAGAAAGGAGGGAGGAAGGAAAGGAAGAAAGGAAAACAGAAAAGGAAGAAGGAAGGAAAGGAGGAAGGAAGAAAGGAGAGAGGAAGGAAAGCAGGATGAAGGAAGGAGGGATGGGAATGGAAAGCAGGAGGGGAGGAGGCCTGCTTGGCCTTTGAGGTCCCATTCTGGCTCCCTGAACCCATGGCTAGGCTTCTTCTGCTTGGCCCAGCAGGTGGATGTGATGGGAGTAGTAGAAGAAAGCAGATTCAGGCAAATAACAGAAAGACTTCCCACCAACGACAGCGCTGCACTAGCGAGATGGTCAGCCTTGGCACAGGGAGTGACCTCTCCCTCCCTAGGAGGCTTCCCGTAGAAGCTCTGTGACCGCTGAGGATCCCAGAATGCCGATTCTTTTCAGTCAAGCTGTCCATAAACAAGCCTCTCCCATGTACCAGGCTTTGTGTGAAGTGCTCAGGATAAGAGCCAAGACATGAGGTAGTTCCTGCCTTCAAGAAACTTACCTTCTGTGGAGGGAGACAAGGTGGATGCATATGCAAGATAAAGAAATACCAGCTAGTCTGGGGAGCACACAGTAGGGCCCAGCACTGTGCCCGATCTGAGAGAGGAAACAGAAATAGTCATTTATGGTCCCTGTCCCCTAGGGACTTCTGGTCTCAGGTGGTGTATTCTGTGAGGATGAGTGTCGCTGGGTGCTGGGAAGGCTTTGTTCATTCACCAGGCCAGACAATAATTATGTACTTACTGTATACAGTAGATACTGTAGGACATAGAAAATTTAGCTAAGACCCAGGCTTTGCCTACATGGGACCTACAGTCTGGTGTGAAGTATCTTGGGATCTGGAGTGGGAAAATCATCTGCAACCCCTTCATATTACAGATGAGGAAACTGAGGCCCAGAGAGATTATGCCACTGGCTTGAGGTCACACACTTTGGAAGTAGCAAAGCCAGGATTCAAACCCAAGTCATGGACCCTCCGTTTGGAGCTGAAAGGAATCCTCCACTTGCTCCAACATCCTCACTTCACCAATGAGATTAGAATCCTGAACAGTGAAGGGGCTTGGCCAAAGTCACACAGATAATGGCAGAGCTGAGATTTGAAACCAGGTCCTCCAACCCTAAATTGACCCATTCCAAGCCAATATGCATTTATTAAATGCCTACTGTGTGCCAGGCACCAGAATACAAAGACAAAAAACCTGGTATGAAATACCTTTTGCACTCTGCCCCCTCTCTGTCAGCCTGGGCTTTAGGGCGATGTAGAACCCGGGCGTACAGGGCCAGCCTGATGGGGAGGGGGAAGGTAGTCATGGAGCACGGGGAGCCTCAGGGAGCCGGAGGGTCCCAGGTGGCAAGCTTGCCCAGGTAAGGAAGCAGGGGAGAGTTTGGAGAGAGAGTGGCCGCCCCCAGCTGGGGCTGTCCTTGCCAGCTCCTTGACCCCCTTCCCTCTTCTCCCCTGCTCCCCATGCCGGTCCCCCACCCCGACCTGCAGAGGCTGTACAGCATGGATTTGCGCAGTGCCCACCAGGTGAAGGGGAAGGAGAAACTCTGCTTCTCCCTGGCCCGCCAGTTTGGCGGCAGCGGCGCCCCCGAAAGGGTGGGTAGGGCGGGCCCAGCACAGCTGGAGGAGAAGAGCAGCAGCGGCGTACCCACCCTGCCCTTCCCGCTCAGGAAGCAGAACAAGGCCCAGAAGTACCTGCGGCTGTCCCGAAAGAAGTTCCCACCCCGCCTGGAGGGCCGTGGCCAGCTTAGAGAGACCTTCCTGGAGGAGCCCGCTGCCCAAGAGGCCACACAGGACACCAGCGAGTGGGACGAGGCCACAGCTACCACCCCCCCTGCTGAGCAGCATCCTGGCAAAGAGGGTAAGCCCTACCCCCGTTATACTTCTGGAGAAACTGAGGCCCAGGGCAGTGAAATGACCTGCCCGAGGTTACATAGCAACTACCGAGTGTGAGTTAGGATTTGAGCCCAGGTTTTCCTGGGCTCTGTTCATTATTCCAGAGCTGGAAGAGACATTAGGGGTCCTCTAGCCCAACCCCCTCATTTTACAGGTGAGGAAACTGAGGCCCAGAGAGAAGGGAAGGCTCATAGAGGCAGGCAGTGGCTTGCAGCGCCTGGATTCAGCCTTGGGTCTTTCAATCACAAATCCAGCCATCTCTGCCCCCTGCGCCACCCTGCCCAGTCATGTAGATGTTAGACTGGGGGCTAATGGGAAAGTGACCAGTGAAGATGGTAGTCTTCCTCTCAAACGTAGTCAGAGGAGCAGGGGCGGGCCTTTGCTGGGCAGTGCCCAGAGAAGGGCAGCCTTTCTCCACATATTCGTGGATGGTTAGAGGAACCGAAGCCAGTCAGCCTGCCTCAGGGACTGTGGTAGCCGCCATGATATCCTGATAGGATGTCAAAGGGTGTCCTTTGGAAGGGGACTTAGCCTTGTAGATATAGGAGGAAGTCATCACAAGGCAAATGGAGGTCTTGTTTGAGGAAACGCTTTCTGTTGATCAGAGATATCCCGAAGTGGAATGGACTGCCACCTTAGGTAGTAGTGAGTTCTCCGTTATAGGAGGTGTTCCAGCAGAGGCCAGATAACTCCTCATCCCATGTGTTTTAGAAGGAATTCTCGGCCTCTCAGGTCCCTTCAGACACCAACTTAGCTTTGTGTCACTGTTCATTAACGTCGTTATCAGCAAGAGGCCCATGGGGTAGTGGATAGAGGGCCACCCTCAGAGTCAGGGAGACCTGGTTTCAGGCCCCACCTCTGACCCTTTCTGACTGTGTGACCCTGGGCAAGTCACTTAATGCCTCAGTGATCCCAGGCAGCTCTCTAAGACTGTAGTGGGAGAGCAGGTGCAGATCTGCATTGATGAAGGGAATTCCCCCCGCCAGAAGTTCTTGGATGAAATCCTAGGTCCCCCCCCCCGACAAATTGTTATTAATAGCAATCAGGGTTCAGGGTTTTCCAGATGTGCAGCTAGGACAGTGGCCCTGAAGTCAGCTCTCCATCTCTACCAGTGCCCTGGTGGGCCTCCATCACCTTTAATCCCATCTTTGTCATTGGACTCTTCCCTAGCCATTTTACCCTTTTGTCCCCTCCCCCAAATGCTCTTCTGCAGCAGCTGAATACTCCCCTTTTTCAGAGGAGGAAACTGAGGCCCAGAGAGTGGAAGGGAATTACTCCCAGTCTTCCAGCTCCAGCTGCCCCCCAAAGTTCCAGCCTCAGGCTCTCTCTGCCCATGCCCCATCTCTTATCATCATTGTCAGACTGGTGTGGGGAGGTTTGTAATATAGCTTCATAAATGAGCCCTGTCTGTCGCCCCAACAAGCAAGCGAGATACCCCCACAGAGCAGCTTCTCCTCCAGAGTGGTCCATCGGATGCGTGAGACAGGCAGGTGGGGGGGATCTCTCCCCTTCTACCAGCCCAGCTACCAAACGAAGCCTCTCCACATCTGACAGTTGGGGTCTCAGGGCATGAATGATGGATTCGGAGTCACAGAACCCTGGATTGCTGCTCCTTGCTGAGGTTTATGACCTTAGTTGAGTCCCCTAACCTCTAAGGGTCTCAGTTTCCTCATTTGTAAAAGGAGGTGAGGAGGGGGTGCCAGGGCTCTACACTGCTCCCTTCTTTCCCTGCCATGCCACTGATGCAATGAAGCTCTCCCCCATCTGTCTCTGTCTCTCCTCCGTGGCGGTGGTAGGTGGTGACCTGACTGCAGGGGGCCTTCCCTGGATCCCCACGCACCCCCCTTCCGAAGTGACGGTGACTGATATCACAGCCAACTCCATCACCGTCACCTTTCGGGAAGCACAGGCCGCTGAAGGCTTCTTCCGGGACCGGAGCGGGCAGTTCTGAACTTCTCCATTCTGACCCCTCTTTAAGTGGTTGTCTGGGAGTTTGGGGCTCAGGCCAGAGGAGGTGTGGGAGGAGGGCAATGCAGTTATTTTATTTTAAAAGACAAACTCCTAACAATCCCAAGAGAGAAAAAGAGAGCTGAACAGAGATGCTCTCTGCTCTCCAGTTCACCCTCGATCCTGTACAATGATGTTTACAGAAGTTTGCTGGGGGTGGGGGGTGGGGAGGAATGGGGTGATCTTGGGGGACTGTTGTCACTGGCATTGACCTTACCTGAGCTAAATGGCTCAGGTCGGGTAAGCCCAGGCAGGGAAGAGGGAGGAGGGAGAAGGCGGAGGACCAGGTGATGGCAAGGAGCCTTCCCCGTCCTGGGGCTCCAGGACTGAGGTGGCTTGGCCAGAACTGACTGCAGTTTATCCATGCTCTGAGCTAGGCCTTTCCCAGAGGCCCTTGGGCCAATTTCTGGCGCCTGTGCAGGGGTGGGCGGCAAGGGAAGAAGTGGGAGCTTCCCTCTCACCCTAAAATACAAAACCCTTCCTCCTTCCCTGGCCATGTGCAAACAACTCAGTGTGAATGGGGCATTTATCTACTTCCACTCCAGAAAGCAAGGATTCCAGTGTTTATGCTGTAAGGAAGGGGCTTTTGTTTTAAAAAAATAATCCAGTTCTGTGATCCACATCCGGGGGGGGAGCCCCTAATATGAAAGCTCCCTCTTCTGGATCAGATCGGCACCTCCTCTGAAAGCGAGAAACTTCAGTCTCGGAAAGCCGCCAGGGCGCTGATACATGTCCAGCCAGTGTGTCTGAGGCTGGACCTGCACCCATGTCTTCCTTCCTCCGGCCAGATCTCCAGCCATGCTGCCTTTTGGGGTCACGTTCTGCCCTCTCCCAACACACACACACACACACACACACACACACACACACACACCCCACATACATACACATATGATTCTTCACCATCACAACAGCTGTCATTCCTCAAGCACATGAAGGTTTCCAAAGCACTTTTCCTCATAGCAGGTAGGGAGTGTATTATATATTTCCCCATTTTACAGATGGGGACACTGAGACTCCCCCCAAAAGGAAATAAAGTGATTGAACTGTTGGAGCCAGGACTTTGAGTCTGGGTCTGACTCTGGAGTCACTTCCGATACTTACTCCTTGTGAGGTAGCCTCCTTGGGCTTTCATTTCGTCCTCTGGGACTTGAGGGCTTGATGGGGCCTCAGTAGGGCTCCTCTGGGGCCCTCAAGCCCTGCCTCCCAATTGTTTTGAATTTTCCATGTCAGAGTCATTGGAGAACACACGGAAGTGGGCAGTAACACAGTCTTCTTTCATGGGGTTGGCAGGGAGGGCAGAGATAACCAAGTGGGGAGAAGGTTGAGGGGGACTGGGGGCAGGGGAAGGCAGGTTGGAGGAAGAGCTAGCAGGGCCCACTAGTGAAAGTCGGGGAGATGCGAGCTCCCACAATCCCAAGTCTCTCCTTCAGATCTTTCTTGGGTCCTCGGGGTTGGGGAAGATCTAAGAGCCCCCCCCTCCAAGGGCCTCCAAGCACCCCAAAGCCTGCCTGCCTCCCCAGCCCTGTAAGCACACACCTGTGTACACGCCACACCCTACAGAGCCTCTGGGCGTGAAGCCAGGATCCTCTGGGCTGGGAGGCAGCACCTGCCTGGCCTGCTTGTCCTGCCTGGGGCCTTCAGGTGAATAATTCATTCTCCCTTTGGGCCCATGTTCTAGGAGAGGGAGGGAAGAGTAGGGGGAAATCCCTTTAAATCCCAAGCTCAAGGTACCAGCAATTGTCCTGTCTGCCTGGCATGTGCAGTGCTAGGAAAAGGCTTTCCCAGCATCAGGAAAGCAGAAGTGGGCCCATTTTACAGATTAAGAAACTAAGACCCCAAGATGGGGGTGGATTTTCCCAGGATCCTGATGCCAATGAGAGTCAGAGCCACCTTCTATAGGAGAGAGTTGGAGGTTGCTTTTGGAGGTCATGGGAGAGTCAGATACCTCCCCCACCCCATATATCCAGGTGGGCCTCACTTTAAGGAAACCCACCATTGCCGACTTAGTGTGAAAAGATGTGGGCCTCAGTTTCCTCATCTCTAAAATGGAAGAGTTGGTCTAGGCCTCTTAGGGCCCTTCTAACTAAATCTGTGACTTCAGTACCCTGTATGTGAGCCCCCCCCCCGCATCTCTCCCCTCCCTGTATCCCTGTTCAGAGAAACTTGAGACCTTGAGAAGATGAGTGATTTGCCCAAGGTCTCATGGCTAATTTTAGGTCTAGACCCGCACCCCAAGACATCAGCTAAATGTCTGATTTATTTATACACATCTGCAAAGGATTTATGTACAATGTCCATTTTCAGTTGTGGGGTAATAGAACACTGAGTTTAGAGGGAGCAATCCTGGGTTCGAATCTTATCTTTGCCTCTTATGACCTCTGTGACCTTGAGTAAATCTCTTGCCCTCCTCTGGACCTCAGTTTTTCCCATCTGTAAAATGAGGCTGTTGGAGTAGGTGATTCCCAGGGTCCCTTTCAGTGCTCAGTCCAAGCCCCCTAGAATCCCCTCCACTTATCATCAAGGGAGGGTCAGCCCACAGATCCCTGCATGAAGCTTGTGCCTGGATGTGGGTGAGATTCAGAAGGCCCTGTCCCAGGGGCCTGAGCCTGGGGGTTTGGTCGCAGGCAGCATGTGGGGCCAGGCTTGCGTATCCAACCCCACCCCTTTGACCATGGAGGAAGGAGTCTTTCCAAGTCATGATTCCTTTTCTGTATCTCTGCCTCAGGTGACTTACAATCCTTCTGAACCCCCTTTTTGTGGACTCTTCTCTAAACTGTTTCCCCATCTCTAATACGAGGATAATGTTGGAGCCAGCAGAGAAAGTAGTTCTATGGCAAAGTGAGAGAGTGCCCCAACCATTCTCAGAGTCCCCCCGCCCCATTCTCATGGTAGCCTTGTTCCCTTCCCCTATTGGGCAGAAAAGGAGGTAAGAAAGATGGTCAGCTCTCCTAGTACAGCTGTCTTCCACCCTTCTTTGGGCCCAGCCACCTTCCAGACAAGAATACTCCCAGAGCAGACTTGAGGCTAGATTGAGAAGTAGTGAGTTTCCTCTCCTTGGAGGTCTCCAAGTAAGGGCTAGATGTGTGTTGTGAAAAGGCGTTCCAGCTGAGATCCTGGGGTGTGGGATGCCTGCAATTCCCTGGTACAGGCTGGAGCATTTATCAGGGAAGCCATGATTTGTCCAGGTACTGGATGAAAGGCCAAGCTGAGATGAGAGAATCCCTGCCCTCATGGAGCAAACAGTCTGATGGGGAGAGGGGAGGAGGATCCTTCCCCCTCTGGCCCTGCTTCTTTCCCTCCTGACTCTCCCAACCAAAGATCTTTTCAGAAAAGCATCCAGTTCATTCTCCACACCCCTAGTGCCCACAAATGCTCCCCTTTCTCCTTTTGGAGGGGATCAGGAAGACCTCCAGCTGCTGCTTCTGGGGACCTGGCTGCTTTCCTTCCAGTTACAGGGCATTTTATCCAAAGCCTTTGCCTTCAACTTTTACAGGAATAGTTCATGTGCTTCTATAATCACTCCCTCTACCTTGGAGGGTAAGCTGAGCTAGTCCTACAAGAGGGAGGGAAGGGGGCTGACTGGAGACCTTGAGAAGATTAGTGACTTACCCAAGGTCTCATGACTTATTTTAGGCCTGGCCCCACACCCCAAGATAATAGCAAAGGATTTGGTTTACTTATATACCACACACACACACACACACACACACACACACACACACACACACACACACACACACACACACACACACATATATACACATATATTCTGTCTCTCTCTTTCTCTCTCATTCTCAGTTGTGAGGTAGCAGAAAAAGGGTTTAGAGGGAGCAATCCCGAGTTCAAATCCTAGCTCTGCCTCTTATGACCTCTGTGACCTTGAAAAAGTCCCTTGCCCACCTCTGGACCTCAGTTTTTCTCATCTGTAAAATGAGAAGGTTGGACAGCCTGACTTTCCATCAGCTCCAGAACAGATTTTGGGGAAGGGCCACTCCAGATCCCCTCCCCACCCCCTTTCCAGCCAGTCAGTTCTAGCCCCTTTTTCTCTTCCCCATTGGCAGGAGGCTGCTCCTCTCCTCTCCTTCTATCAGCCAGGATGATCTATTCTCAGCTCATTTCAGCCACAGTAGGGTATGAGCTTGGGGTCACAGGAGACCCAGACAGGACTTACAGGGAGGATGCTAGCGGCCTTCCCCTTTCCCATTCAAGACTGCTGATTTTCCTATGTCCATGTAGGGTTGCCCCCTGCAAGATCTTTCTTTGGGAAGACCCAGAGAGGAGCGTCCTCTCCCTCAGCTGGCCCTGGGACAGACCTTTCGCACCCAGCTTGAAGCAGGAGTGTGGGAGGGGGTATCTTGCCAACCAGCCTCGGTGATGGAATGGGTAGCACAGACATCCCAAGAAAAGGAGTGGGGCACCAAGGATGAATACCTAGGCCAGGCTCCTAACGGGAAAATTGTGGAGCAGGAAACAATGGGTAAGGCAGCTTGGGAAATGAAGTTGGGTGTAATCAGGGCCTAGAGGGTGGGGACCCACCCTCACTGAGTAGGCAGTAGAAGAAGTTGACAGCCCTCTCTATCTAACCCCCTGCTTGCGGTGGACCCCTCCCCCCATCTTCTCTTGGGGATTCTTTCCTGGTCTGGCACAGGGTGGACCAGGAGGCCCCAGTCTCAGGCCCCAGTGGAAGGCAGGGTTCTGAGTCTAGTAGGGAGGTCTGCAGGTAGCTGCCAAATGAATGAGGGGGCTGGAGGCTAGGCCTGGACACACCCCACCCACCCACGTACCACATCACAGACACACAGACACACGCGCACACACACATCCCTCCTGACTGCTGCACTGCCCTTCTGTTTGGGCTCCAGAGAGTGTGACTGCCTCAACCTCCTTTCTGCTCTATGGGCCCTTTCAAAGAGATGATTGTAAATTTAAATTATATATTGGGGTGGGGGGAGTGGCTGCCTTGATGCCTGCAATAAACAAGCCTCCAGGTTAGCACTTTCAGGTCAAGTCCTCCTGCAGCCCCCAAGAGGCAGGGAGGGGGTGAGAGTTTGCTCCCCTTCCCACAGGCCGAGGGCTGTGCTCATTGCTGCTCTGAGGTCTGACCCTCACTGCCCGAGAGCATCTGCAGCCCAAAGACCAGCTCGTCTCAGCTGGACAGGATACTAAACAACCCGGGGTTGGAGTCTGAGGACCTGGATTTGAACCCCAGCTCTGTCATGTGTGACATGTGTGATCACGAGCAAATCACTGGCCCTCAGTTTCCTCCTGAACCTGGCCTCTGAGGGGCTTCCTGTACAGCTCTAAACCCTGTTTCTGTCACTCCCATGGGTAGTGGGGGGCTCTGAGCCCCCAGCCTGCCCCCGTCGCCCTCTGCCCCAGTTGAGGAGGAAGATCCCAGGATTCCCCCGGGGACCCTCCCCCCAGAGACTCTACCAGGTTGCTTGGCCCAGGAAGGAGAGAGAGACCAGGAGAGACTGCAGGGTTTGGCACAAGGGTCAGGACCCACCCAAGAAGAGGCCAAGCTGAGAGTCAGGCCCACAGCTCCCAACCAGGAGGTGGGGGGACAAGGGGGCCGAGCCCAGCCTGGGTCCTCTCCTCCCACTCCTGATCTGGGCATTCCATCCAAGGGCCTGGCAGAGTTGTGGGCACTCACTCCCATGCCTGGAGCCTGTAGAGTTAGCACCGTGTTCCCCAACTCCAGTGTGGGCAGCACAATGCTGGCCTTTTCTCCTTGCCGCGCCCCACCACACTAACTTTTGAATGTTATAATCCAGGGCTGGTACTTAGCTTTTTTCTTTTTAAAGTTAAAGGGACAAGGAGCAAATATCCACACCCCCCCCCCAGGTGGGCGGGCAGGTCGCAGGGCCCCATCCCAGCCTGCTTTGGGCATTACTCTTAATAATATTTCTAACAGTGGCCAATTTCCCTCCCCTCTTGCTCCAGGGATGGACGAGGTTGGGGTTTTTTCTTTGGGCAAGTTGAGGGCTGATGGAGCCCCTTACCCTCCGCATTACCCCCAGCCCCCAGCCTCAGCCTGGGAAAGCTTTCTTTGCACA